AATTTTAATACACAAAACATGCTGTAGATTTTTATACAGATTGCTTTGAATTCAAGTAAATATGAAGAAAATTGATGTATTTTTATAATACTGTGTCTTCCAATCCATGATCAGGGTGTATCCCTCCATTTGTTTAGGTTTTTCTCAAAATTTATTTCCAAATGTGTTGTTTTCTAGGTAGCACTATTGAAAGTAAGATTTTAGATCTGAGTATAAATATTCATTGTATTTTGATGCTATTATAAATTTTACACACACACACAATTTTCTACTTGTTTTGAGGATTTATATGTCCAGGTATCAAGAGTTACCCTAATTCTAGTGAAAATATAATGTGTTTGAACTTAGTCATTAACTTAGGTTTGAAATTCACACCAAGGGAACAGAAAAGAGTGCCTAGAAATGGAGGCACACATAAACAATCAATTGATTTATAACAAAGGCTCATAGAAATTCAGTGTGAAATGAATAGGCTTTCAACAGTGTTGGGACAATTGGGTATGAATGTGGATGAAATATAGAAACCTGAAACAGTCCTATTCAAGATGAATCATACACATCAATGTGAAACCTAAAGAGAAATCTTGTGGTATGACGTTTCTTCACAACGTTGGTTTAGGTAAAGACTTAAGCCTGACAAAAAGCACTGAAGTGACAAAAATCACTAATTTTCAAAATGTAATTACTGACAATACTTGAGTATATAGCTATCATTTAAAAATTTTAATTTTAATGTGTTTGAGATAGGGTCTCCCTCTGTCAGCCAGGCTGGAGTGCAGTGGCGTGATTATGGTTCACTGTAGCTTTGAACTCCTGGGCTCAAGCGATTCTCTCACCTTAGACTCCCAAGTAGCTGGGACCACAGACACATGACACCATGCCTGGCAACTTCTTTAAAACTATTTTTATTTTTTTTGGTACTTGCCCAAGCTGTTCTCAAACTTCTGGACTCAAATGATCTCCCCTCTTTGGCCTCCCAAAATGTTGGGATTCCCCACATCACACTTATACCTACCATTTCAGTATTTTTTTTCTATTTGTCTCAACTGCATTATGTTCTTTTTTTCTTTTACCTGCCTTACTTTGGATTAATGAAACCCTTTTAAAGTTACTGCAATTACCTGTCAGCAGCTTGATGATAAGATTCTCTTACTACTCTTTCAGTTGTTACTCTAGATGCTGAAGCACACATTCTGGATATGTTGGAGTCTAATGTAAATTAGATTTTTTTTTTTTTGACAGGGAGTCTCACTCTGTTGTCCAGGCTAGAGTGCAGACACTGTGTGGGGTTCCTACCCCACAGTCTGCCCCTGCACGCTCCCCTAGAGGTTTGAGCAGTGGGGCGCTGAAGAAGAGAGCCACAACCCCATCACATGCCTGCGAGGAGGACAAGGGAACATTTCCCGTGTTGATATCTCCATTAATGTTTATCTGACAAACCATCTGTGTTTTCTGCAGCACTTCAAAGATGTCATTCCATTTTCTTCTGGGCTTTTTAAACACTTTTTGATTTTAGACTTCAGCAGTTGGAATGTTAATAGTTAAGTTATTTTTCTTTGCATATATTCTTCTTGAGTTTGCTGATTCTGTTAAATCATGAGTTAATATGATGATATCTTTCATAAGGCTTAGAAAATTCTCAGCCTTTATCTTTTCAAAAATTATTCTGGTTCCTTATCTCTCTCTTCTCCTTCCGGGTCTACAGTTGCAGCTGTGGTAGACCTTTTTACCATTTTCCATTTGTCTCTTATTATTTTTCTCCATGTTATATATCTTTCTTTTATGCTCTAGATAATATATTTCCTGCTGTCCTTCCTTTCATTTAACCTCTATTCACATGTGTTCAATCTGCTATAAACCTAGGTTTCTAATATCAGTTATTATATCTTTATTTTTACAACTTCTAGTTTGAATTTCTTATTCATTACTGCTCTGGGGTTCAATTTTCCACATTTTCTTACATTCATGAACATATTAATAATTGTTATTTTACAGGATATCTTAAATAAACACTGTTTCATCCAACTGTTGTTCTTTTCTGGTTTGTTTTCCCCATTGGTCTTGCTTCTTGACATACCTGGATTTTTTAAAATTACCAGCATTTTACATGAAAAATAATAGGTAAAGCTCTGGTTTATGTTATTTTTCACTAAAGAAAGTTTACTTTTGTTTCTAACAATCATTTCAGAATGTAAGAGAATCACTTTAAGCGATTCAGAGACTGAAGTGATTTCGGATTGTATTTCTGGGTGCACAGGGCCTGTTCTAATTCAGGTTTGCCTTTACTCCTACAATAGAGATTTCCAGAAGTACCACAAACCAAGTCTTAAAGCTCGTTCACCAGGGCGCTCTTCCTTGATAGATCTTGAATTCAAATTTTTATCTCCCCAAAGGGTAATACTTCTAAAAACTCATTTCCTGTATTACTTAAGTCACATGAAATACCTCAGGGAAAAAAAAGGTCCTGGATATGTGCTGCTCCCTAGTGCTTTCCTTCTCTCTGGGATATGACCTCATCAGTCCCAGTTTTGGAATATCCCCAAAGTCAATTTTTTTTATCTCCCAAGCCTTGTGAATCTATTAACACCTGTTTAGCCAACACTTTCTACTTGGCTTTGTACTGGAAATCTGAAATCTGAATCTCTTCTATAGCATGTCATATGAATTGGTCAAGTTCTTGAAAGAAAAATACAGCATAAAATGTTGCACTCACTGCAGTAAAGAATGGCGATCATTAAAAAATCTGGAGACAACAGATGCTGGAGAGGATGTGGAAAAAAAGGAACACTTTTACACTGTTGGTGGGAGTGCAAATTAGATCAACCATTGTGGAAGACAGTGTGGCGATTCCTCAAGGCCTTAGAAATAGAAATTCCATTTGACCCAGCAATCCCATTACTGGGTATATAGCCAAAGGACTATAAATCGTTCTACTATAAGGATACATGCACACGAATGTTCATTGCAGCACTGTTTACAATAGCAAAGACCTGGAACCAACCCAAATGCCCATTAATGATAGACTGGATTGGGAAAATGTGGCACATATACACCATGGAATATTATGCAGCAATCAGAAATGATGAGTTTGTGTCGTTTGTAGGGACATGGATGAATCTGGAGAACATCATTTTCAGGAAACTGACACAAGAACAGAAAATGAAATACCGCATATTCTCACTCATAGGCGGGTGATGAAAAATGAGAACACATGGACACAGGGAGGGGAGTACTAAACACTGGGATCTATTGGGGGAAAAGGGGAGGGCCAGCTGGGGGGAGGAGCTGGGGAGGGATAGCCTGGGGAGAAATGACAAATGTGGGTGAAGGGGAGAAAGGAAGCAAAACATACTGCCATGTGTGTACCTATGCAACTGTCTTGCATGTTCTGCACATGTACCCCAAAACCTAAAATGCAATAAAAAATTTAAAAAATAAATAAATGAATTTTAGTTTCTCAATCCTCTTCATAGTTCTCTCAGCTCCTAGTTCTCCTTTTCCTCCTCCTCATTTTTCTTCTTCCCTCTCTCTGTCTCACTTGCTCTAAATATATATGCAAATATTTGGTTTACTGCACGCTAATCTCTCATAGCCTCAAACAGAAATCCCCAAAGATTATTTACATGAAATGTGAGCAACTCCAGTTTGCTTAAGTTGGCCTGTATCTTTCTAGTTCCAACTGAAGACTTTTTGGGCACCTTAGTATTTAGAATACTATTAGATATAATTGAAGGCGCTCATTAAGGAGATAATCAGGAAAGGCATATTGGGTTATGGCAGTGGTTCTGTAAATGGCCCTTGGACCAGGGACATGCACATCATTTGAGCTGAAATTTCAAATTCATTATTTCAGTTATTTTTCTTATGAGAACTAAAATACTAAAAATTTTCATCAAACCTGACAAAGCAATTATAACTGCTTCATCTTTCCACCTTCATGTCGCACTCCAGAGCCTCCAACTTTTCTGTCCCTAGCCTTCATTGTTTTTGCTTTTCCTGAAGCACAATGCACAACCTGTGAACTTGTTATAAATGTATATTCTTGGGGACTACTCCAACGTACTGAACCAGAATCTTTAAGGATGTGGCCAAGAAAACTGTGTTTCCACATGCTCTCCAGGCGATTTTCTTATACATGGTAAAAACAGAGGGTCACTGAACTATTGGCAATGGAAGCTGGAAGTCAATGTTATATATTTTAATACTGGCGTCATTACCCCTTAAAATCCCTTCATATTCACAGGGCTTTACACAATGGTAACCATATATTAAGTACCCAGAAAATGTGGTTGAGGATCAAACTGCTTGGTTTAGTAACTGAGATGATTTAATGTAAGTATTTATCCTTTAGAGACTATCTTTCTCATTTCCAAGATGACAGAATTCCTGTGTATATTCTAAAATATGTAAGATAAATTTCATCTTATCCACCATCTAAATAGACATTTCAGACCATCATAATCTGGCAAATAATAATTTGTTTTTAATGATATACCTGAAGTGCTATAAAATACAAACTCTTAACTGCCAAAGAAATTATACTCAATTATGTTTAGATTGGCCTCGGTGCTAATATGAATGACCATCATGTTGCCCTTGGAAAAGAAAACCCTGCAGGCTGAGAGGATGAAAGTATTAGCATCTCTTAGGTTAGCTGAGTATGTGTATGTATTAAATAATTTCAGGAATATTACTTATGTATTCTGAGAAAATGGATTTTGCTAAAAGTGCCAATAAGGCAAGGTTAAATGCAACAGATCCTCCAAAAGTAAGAGATTAAGTATGAGTGAAGAACAACTTGTGGCGAAATGTCAGTAATTAAAGAAATAGATCAGGGAAGGTGAAGTGATAACAAAAACTAAGAAACCGGAAGTAAAATAAAAAAAATTAAATAGCATTTAAAATTGACAAAGCTGAAAAAGATATATAAGCTAAACTGTGGTCTATTAAGAAAAAACACTGGCCCTAGAAAGTAGGGGGGAGATGGGAAGCAGTCCTACCTCTTCTAATTGCACCATGAGAGTAACGTTGTGTCCTTGTTCCGCTGTCAGCTTTCCATCAGCTGTGACTATCCGCAGCCCCCGCGGGGCTTTTCCTGGGCACTTCTGGGGTTTGGCAGTGTACTGTTCCCTTACTCCATCAGTGCAATTATTGGAAACCACCTTCCTGTACCTAAATGGAAAAAAGCTCAAGTCATAAACCAGCTCATTATAATGTGAATCATTCCCACATTTTTAAATTAGACAAAGTGCCTAGCCCTGAGGACGACGAGTAAGCACCTAACCATCTTTCATGCTACTATGAGAAGTAGCATTAATTCATATAAAGTGCTCAACAGAGAGATAATCACAGTCACACATTGTATCTATTTATAGCATTTTAGTTGACTTTCATGCACCTATTAAATTAATGAGTCACTTCATTTTGGAGTTGTAGGAAATACACAGAAGTAGAAGATATAGCCCTTTCTCTCACTAGGTTTATAAGATAGTTGGAGAGACATTAATGGCTAATCTAGGAGATAATTCAAAGGCCATATAATTAAGGACTAGAATGACTAATAAATATTGCAAAGGAATTTATAGTTCAGAGAAAGAATAGGTTATGATGGATATATGACTCAACATTCATAGATCTCATAGAGACTGCTATAGTAATGGTATAGCACAGAAAACACTGGCTTAATTTGATATTTCTACCCAATACTTCATGAGAGATTATATGGGTTAAACGATCAAACCTCACATTAAAGAGATTTTAGCTTTTGCAGATTGATCTCTTTTGCTTATTTCTTCTTTTAGTTTCAACAGGAAAAAAATTATTCTGCAAAATCAACCTATATAATTATTCAGATTCATAGTAAATTAAAATTTGCAATTATAGGATGACAAAGCTTTAAGATTTTTTTTTTTTTTGAAACAGAGTCTCGCTCTGTTGCCCAGGCTGGAGCTCACTGCAACCTCCGCCTCCCAGGTTCAAGCGATTCTCCCGTCTCAGCCTCCTGAGTAGCTGGGATTACTGGCAAGTGCTGTCACATCCAGCTAATTTTAAAAAATTATTTTTAGTAGAGACATGATTTCACCATGTTGGCCAGGCTGGTCTGAAACGTCTACTTTGTGATCCACCTGCCTCGGTATCCCAATGTGCTGGGATTACAGGCATGTTCCACCGTGCCCAGCCAAACTTTAAGGTATTTGAGGTTCAGTGTTATCTAGTCATTATCATTTTATACTGTTGGGTCTGGAGCAACCACTTTATATATGTATATATTTGATTTCCCAGGTTTACTTGCCTAGAATTAGTGGTAGAATCCAAATGAGAAGCAATCAAAGCTTACTTTCCACTCTTCTAGACCAGAGATCAGAAAAATGTTTGTTGTGAAGAACCAGATAGTAAATGTTTCAGTTTTGCAGGCTATGTAAACTTTGTCACAACTACTTAACTCTGCACTTACTGTATGAAAGTGAACACAGACAACACATACAAGAATGTATGCACCTGAATTCCAGAAAACCTTTATTTACAAAGCTGACATAGTTTTCCAATGCATTTAAGTATAACAAATGCCCTTTCCTCTGCAAGAAAGTCCAAGGAGACCCTGTCTAGAAAAGTGCTTTGACACTGTGGGTCACTACAGTGTCAATTATTAATGCTTAACTCATTTCATATGTTAAATGTAAGAATTAAATGGGTTAATGTACAAAGAGTACTTAAAAGTATTCTAATACTTAGCAAGTGCTCACAAAATATTACTGATTATTACTATTTAATATTATTACTATTTCTCTTCTCTGTTCAAAACCTTCATGGACTTCAAATGACCTTAGGGTGAGTTGTAAATTCTGTAATCCTGGGCATAAAGCCCTTTTTTTTTTTTTTGAGATGGAGTTTCACTTGTTGCCCAGGCTGGAGTGTAATGGTGCGATCTCAGCTCGCCACGACCTCCGCCTCCTGTGTTCCAGTGATTCTTCTGCCTCAGCCTCCTGAATAGCTGGGATTATAGGCATGAGCCACCACACCTGGCTAATTTCGTATTTTTAGTAGAGACAGGGTTTCTCCACGTTGGTCAGGCTGGTCTCAAACTCCCAACCTCAGGTGATCCACCTGCCTCGGCTTCCCAAAGTGCTGGGATTACAGGTGTGAGCCACCATGCCCAGCCTCCACTAGCTAATCTTATTCTATTCTCCTGGACTCTTTCTTCCTCTTAGGCCCATATCCATTCTCTTTTTAATCCTCTTGAGAGTACTTCTTTTTTTCTCTCTCTTTCTGCTTCAATGTACCCCTGCATGCCCTATCAGCTGCCTAAAATTTACCCACCCTTTAAGGTACTGCTTACTTCCTGTCTTCTCTAACACAGTTTCCCCGAATATAGTAAAATGGCAGGAATTTCATAGAGTGCTTACTATGTCCTAATTATTATGCTAAGTTCTTTACATACATTAACTCATTTATCTTCAAATATATCCATAATAAGGAAGATGCTGTAATGATTCTCAAAAAAAACAGATGGAGGAATTGACGTTCCTAGGTGCCAACTAGTTTTCTCAAGATCAAACAGCCAGGACCCGAGACAATTTGTCTCTAGAACACACCTCCTCTTTATTACTGCACTGTACTGTAGCTTTAAATGGAATAAGATTATCCCTCCTCTAAATCCTTAAAGGACTCCTTATGATTTACTTGATAGGAATTCTTCATACCTTGTATGATTTTCTTCCTGGTGTGACTTTGTGAACTTCAAGCTCCTTGAGGGCCCCCTTGTGTTTCAGATATATAAGGCTGGTAATCAGAAAGTCTACACTGGTAACTAGACCAGTTTAAATGTGAAACTATCTGCATAGCAATTGATTATTACATCCCCAAACCCTCCAGGTATCTCACTCACGAACCCAGCTATGCTGATCCCTGTCGTTAGAGTACTTGCTTCTCACAATTTAGCAACCTATGGGTTAACACCTAAGCCCATGGGGGGGGGTCCTCCAAAACTCTGCTCCAGAAATAAGATCACTGCCCATTATGGTTGATCATTGTTATGCCTAAGGAATTTGAACATCATTCCATCTGATTTTTTGTTTTATTGAGACAGTCTCACTGTTACCCAGGCTTTACTTGGCTCACTGCAGCTTTATCCTGGCTTACTATAGCTTCCACCTTGTGGGTTCAAGCAATTCTCTTGCCTCAGCCACCTAAGTAGCTGGAATTAGAGGCATGTGCCACCACAAATGGCTAATTTTTGTATTTTTAGTAGATATAGCATTTCACCTTGTTGGCCAGGCTGGTCTCAAACTCCTGGCTTCAAGTAATCCACTCACCTCAGCTTCCCAAAGTGCTGGGATTAAAGATATGAGCTATCACACCCAGCTTCATCTGATAATTTTTAAGAAATCCTTTGCTTATGAGTGTATGTATATTAAAAGAGAAAATAAAGGCAGTTGAGAGAAAGAAGGAAATAAAAAACAAAATGCAGGCACTGGAGAATGATAGCATCCTGGCACCAGCAATGGTAGCAAGAAAAATGACCAGTGATGCCACCCAGGTTAATTGTGCCATCTCAGTTTGTTTCACATGCATCACAGACTGCCTACAGGTTTCAGAGGGGAGGCTCTATGCAAACTGAAGTCAGGTTATGACTTTTAATCAGTCAGCATCCAAGCACATCTGTGACTCTCTCTTGGTGAGCAGCTAGAGAAGCATTGGCTCACCATCACCACTAGCATCATCAGCTAGAGAACATTCTTCTGTTTGTTACTGTCCTGATCAATCATTACCTTACGCTTTCCTGAATCCTGCAATAACAAGAGTTCTGCTTAAATCCAAAGCACGAATCTATCCCCCTGGGACTCTGCCACAGAGAAGACTGTTGGTAATTTTTTTAAATGCTCATTAAAAACCATTCTGAAACCATTTTATTTCCTGTATGAAAATGGCATCACATTAGCCTACCAGACCTGTCCCTGAAATTTAGTAGAAAATTGTGCCGTAATACAGAGTTCATTTACTCAAGAAAGCACACACCTGCTTTTTGCATTACAGAATGGTTCTATTTTCATCCCGGCAGCTGTCCCCGGGTCTGAGTTACATAAATGAATAATGCATTTAATATGTTATTAAATGGGGCTGCTACCTCCGTAATAACAAGGCAACTTATGATTATGTTGGACCTGCGCTCTGAATATTACTGGGATGCATTTAGTTGGTAAAGCATTTTTCAATCTGCCAAGAAGAAAAGTGCTTTGTAATGACAAGGGAGTCTTTGTACAATTACTGAAAAGGAAGCATTCTGCAAATGTGCCTTTGATATTACTGATGGCTCATCAGTAGATAGGAGCTTACACTCCACCCTAATTTCAGCTATTCTCTTCCCTCCTATCTTGATATACCTCTGTAACATTTTCCTTTTTGCCCCTACCCTTTTTGATTTTGCTTCTGTGCTGCCTGGCAGTCTTAAAAAAGATGAAGGCTATAATTATCTTTGTGAAAATAAAACTGGACGAAAGCATTAAAAGTCTTTGTAATCTGTGACTTTTCAATTTACTAGGATTTTTTTTTTTGACATTTTGAGGTGGTGATGGCCAAATACAGATGTGTATAAGTATTCAGTATATGTTGAGGTGACAGTATATTCTAGCTTAGATCTCAACCCTGTCTACCCTTTAGTATCAGCTGGGGATCCTTTTAAAATAAACGAATATCCAGGCTCTGTAACCAGAAATGCTCATTTGAGAATCATGAGGATCAGTTTGTTTTTGTTCTTAAGTTCCCTGGTGATACTAGTTAGCAGCCAAGGTTAAAGACCACTGACATTTAAAAAGTCAAAAAACAATAGATGTTGATGTGGATGTAGTGAAAATGGAACACTTATATATGGTTAGTAGGAATGTAAATTAGTACAAAGTAGCACAATGTCTATGGAAAACAGAATGGAGATTTATTAAAGAACTAAAATTAGCTCTACTATTGAATCCAACAATCCCACTGCTGGGTGTCTACCAAAAGGAAAAGAAGCTATTATATCAAAAAGACACCTGCACAATTCATGACTGCAAAGATATGGAACCAATTTAAGTGCCCATCAGTTGATGAGCAGATAAAGAAAACATGGTATAGATACCCTGTGGAATACTATTCAGTCATAAAAAGGAATGAAATATGTATTTTGCAGCAACTTGGAT